GAGAGGAGGGTTGTTGGGACCCGAACGTAAGGGGTACGTCTTCTATAGAGCGACGCGGCTAGTCCTACGATGTCCAGGCAGACGCCTCCTCCGATGGCGATGATGGGCTCCGTTCGCCTGTCGATGCTGAAGTTCTGGACTTCTTGCAAGATGTTCAAGACCAGGTCCATGGATTTCGTTTCTTCAGTGGTAGGCAGGGCGAGGATTTTGTGCTGAACGTTATTCTCTTCAAAGTATTCTCTGACTTTGGAGCCATAAAGTTCATCAACAACTTCATCTATGACGATAAAGCGCCTTAGCTTCCTTTTGCCACTAGTGGCTAGCTCTAGTTGCTGGGGGTCAGTAACGTGACCCCAGAGCAGAGTAGTGTTAGAAGGATCCAGAATATTGTACGTTTCTACCACTTTGTAGCAAAAATAGATGGGAGCTTCGATTGTCCAGGAAATCCCGCCTTCGGAGACGCATTCACCTCTGGCAAGGATCAGAAAACACAGTTTGAAATTATTTTATTCCTCTTTTGTACTTTGCATGTCTGAACTAGTTTAAGGATGTAGCTTGGGGGTAGGAACGTGATGTCTCCTGCCCGTGCAGTGCAAAAGCGTGGGGCTGCATCTCCCAGGTGTCAGGGCTCAATTGCTTTGGCACCAGAGAAACCCTCCCACATCTTAGAGAACAGTCAAGTGGCTGAACTTCTACATGGTAATGATAAAACAGAGAGCAAGAAGGGCTGGGGAAGCAAATAATTTTCCTTCTAATTCATTCAGTTGTCAATAAAACAGCAGAGAAACCCAGAGAAATCATCCCAGCTTCCCAAAAGGGAGTGGGGAAGAGATTACCAAAATTTTCCGAAGTATTTATGAAGGAAACATCCTCTGCCTAGTACATCTGGGTGATATGATTGGATTTATTCCTGTCTATCTGCACACAGCCACACACATACACACATCCCTCCATAGAAAATAATGGCTCTACGGTTCTCCATTTGAACAGTGGATCTCATCATAGTGTGGATCCCTTTACCTCAAAACAGGTATGATAGAAATAGGAAGTGCTCTCAGGTAATTAAAATGAAAAAGTAATTATTTGAGAGTTGGCAAAGGTTTCTATAGTGGAGTTTGAAAGGACAAATAGAAGCCTACAAAACTGGCACGTAGTATTTATATAAAACAGTGAAGAACGCAGCCCTGCAATCCAGTTATTACTTCTCCTGTTGGGAAGGGGGAGCCAGGTGAAAAACAAGTGGCTTTTTTAGTTTGTTGGGAATCAGGAAAGGGTTTGGTTTTTTTTAAAGACAGAACAAAACTGAAAAAATGTTTTTTATATAAGACGTGTTCTTGAGCTGCAGTTGGGTAAAAATTGAAGGTTTCCACGAACCTGTGTTTTGTTTGTGAATGAGCAGATAGTTCATCAGATAATCAGATGTCCATACCTGCCCAATTTCTTTCCACATGCCTGAGCTTTCTCTTTTTGGTCTAAATAGATGCTTCTCTGCTTTCTTTACCAAATTACCTCTAAACCTGCCCCTAACATTTTTAAGTATTAAGTGAGGATTTATATCTTCCAGAAAATTTCTTCTGTGCTTTTAAAATGCAGTATTACAGAAAAGTCACCATGTACATTTTAATGCATCAAGTATACACCTTTTAGCTCTACTTTATGTGCTTGTGCATCCACCTCTGGCATGTGACCCTTTTAAGAGACGGGATGGTTTTGAATGTTAGTTGGCGGAATCAGCTTTTGAGTGCTGGATGGCACCGCTAGCACCCACAGCAGCCCCTCTGCTGTACAAAACCAGTAGTGAATTTGAGGCTGAACACACCCTTGTTAAAGCATATGTCAGCTGGGGATTTTTCTGGGTCTGCTCTGGGCCCTGGGTTCATCCTGCTATTGACTGAGGTCCACCAGACTGCCTTTGGATCTGCTAAAGTCCTGTTCTACCTGCTGCAGCTCTGCCTGAGCAATGGTTGCGTGCAGCCGCTGCCGGCGCTGGTGAAGATCCCTCTGACCTGACTGAGACAAGGGTTAGACTTGTGGTGTTAAAACCTGAGTACGACAAATACTAGGAAACTTCTGACATGCAAAACGTAGCCGTGTTAAGGAAGACCTGCATCGCAAATGGGGCTCCATGTGCAGATGAAAAGGAGTATCCTGTAATTAAAGGATAATTAACTGGAGAGATGTAATATCAGCAAAGAGCTGTATGTATCCCTGGGGGAAATTTATCTCCCTCCTCTCTCTGAAGCAGCATCAGGTGGCTTCTACAGTTTGGGAGATGTGTTATGGGTTTTGCTCCTGTCAGTGACCTACTGTGTTTATTTTTTCCATCTAGGCATTTCATTTATCTGCAACCACCTCTATAAATGCATCCTTCTCCCATGCCTGTGCATGAGCTTTTGCACACAAAGATTTCATGTACGTACAGGGGGAAAAAAAGCCCAAGTGCAGCATTTGGAAGTCCCTGAGTAAGCTTTTCAGAAGTTTAAAGAAACTTCCCATCTACAAAAATTGAGGCTGTTGATAAAATTCCCTCTGTAACTTAGCCAAATCACGCCAAGGAGAACAGCAAATACCCGTGCTGCCATCCTGCACACATTTGAAGCCCGCTTTCGCAGGGCTGTACACGTAATGGTGGGTTTAAGCCACAACGGCACACGAGATGGTTTTTCCAACTAAGATGCATCCCGCCAGGCAGACCACGCAGTTTGGCTAGCCAGAGCCATCCAGCGCAGTCGCCAACGAGCAACGTGGGCTCCTATACTTACATTTTTGCTTCGGAGAGAGTTATCTTGTCCTCGCAGTCAGAAAGGGCTTCTCCTTTCTTGATCCGGCACCATGTGCTCTTGACCCGCACCAGCTGGAAGTCCGTCTGCCGGGGCTCCTGGGGCACGGTGGCCGGGGCCGCTGGCGCAAAGGTCTCTTCTGACACTGGCATGCTTCCAGAAGGTAAAATCTCCCTGTTCAGAGATCTCCCGTAACTGGGTGCCTTTGAGGTGCTTTTTAAAGGCTCCAAGGTGACCAGGCGTTGGAAGGGCAGGTCTTGGCTCCACAGGGAAGACCAATTACAAAACTAAGATTACCTAATCTGGGATGCACGCTAGGGGCGGTAGGAGCATTTGAAGACATGTGCAAGTACCTTGTGTAATCGGCTAGTTTTATAATTCTTAAGAAGTACATACATACAATAGGAGTGCATACATCAACTTCCAACATGATGCCCTACGGCAAATTTAAAGTTATGAAAGGCAATTTGTGTGATCTTCCACGACATTCAGGAACCTCCTTTGTTGTGCGGGGCCTCTGATCTGGCTGCGGCTCTAACTCGCTCTTATGGGGTGAGACGTAGATCAAAAACAGGCATAAAAGCAGAGGCTGAAAAAATGGTTCTTCAAGAGCCCATCGGACAAGACCACTTCTTTGCATTGAAGGCTTAATTGCAGCCAAACTCACTTAGGAACCTACACTTATCTCAAAATTAGTTTTGGGGAAAAAGCTACAAGAATAAACTCTAAAGCCACGTAGCCCTGCTCCAGGAAGGGTAATAACTCCTAACATCTAGTTCTCACTGCTGGCTTCATCTCCAGGTGGCAAAGCACTTTGCAAAGGGGACAGACTGTTATCCCCATTTTATAGAGGAGGAAAACAGAGTCACTAGAAGAGAAGCAACTTGCCGAAAGTCACCTCCAAAGCTAGCGGAGGGTGAATTAGATGGCATACTAAAGCTCTTAGCCTGTTTACTAAATACTCGTCTGAAATTTTAACTCCCAATCCAAACACAATTTGGATTGCTTTCCACAGGGACTGCAGGTCTAATGCAGTTTGTTGTTTACTAAATCATAAGATGGAATAATCTTAGGTATTCGAGGAGGTCTCTCCTCTTCATCTTGTTTATTTGTTTTGATTAATAGCAATGCACTGAGCATTGAGACTTATTTTATTTGCTTTTCTTTTACTCTTTTGTCCTGTGCATTTACTTATTTTCCATTTATACTTCCCTGTTCTATTCTGGGGAATATTCTATTCTATTGAAATGTCTTCTGTTTCATTTTAGAAGTTGACAAATTGACTTTCCAAAGTCCATCTGCTTGCCATAGCCAATGACTGCCATGCCCTTGTACCATCCATCCTGCAGAGGGGCTGCCAAGAACCTTGCGGCGGAGACGGGCTCCCCACAGCCTCTTCACCTCCTCTGCCCAGCCCCGGCTCTCTCGGCACGCTTTGCCAGGTACATTGGGTTGGTCCTTGACTGAACAAGCCTAGGTGATACATCACAGAGGTGAAAGATGCTGTTCTGGTTATGGGGTAGTCCTTGTTTCCTCATTAGCTTCAGTTTGTGTTTCATCTGTGTGAAGAGAAGACGGCTGGCCGACCTCAGCTCCATCACATGCTCTTTGATTACTTTGCTTTAATTCCTCACCAGCCTTTTCTGCTCCAGCTCTGCTGCAGGCCAGCTTAGGCTTTTGAATACCTTGGATGTTCCCAATAGTTCCTCCTGAAGGCTCCTGGGACCCTTTCTGGGGGTGCAGGTCAACGGGTACCTGTGTGACACAACATTCGCCAGCCCACGCAGAGACCTGGAGCCCAGAGCAGGGGACGCTCCCATGTTCGGCTGTGCGAGGCAGAGGTGACCTTGAAGCTATGGACCACTTGCAGATAATCTGGGGTTCAAAGTCCTGGGCCTTTTTTGGCTTCATACCTGACCGATTAGCTGGGACACGTCTGTGCTATGTAACCAGAACGTTACGAAACTGCCAATTATCTCCTTGAGAGCCAGCAGCTTCCCGAAGTCAGGATTTGAACATCGCTCTTATGTAAAGCGAAGGCATTGAAAGTCGACTTTATTGTTTGTTTTTAATTCTTTTTTCATGTCAGATGCTGTTGGATCTCACCCGCTGCCCGTGCTCTGGGTGAGGGCAGGTATGTGCAGCTGGAGCGGGTGCAGCCCCAGCCCGGGGCCATCCTCCCTGCGCAGCCTTTCCCCAGGGCTGGGGCTTTGCCAGACGATGGTGGGTGGAGAAGCCCGTCCCCTCGACGGACACCTGAGCACTGACGTGCTGCTCTGCAGAGGCAGCAAACCCACAGCGGCATCCTCCGAGGCTGAGGGACAAGAAGCAACATGCATAATCCTGCAGGTAAAACTCCCTATGTGGGGTGAGGAGCTCCAGGAGAAGGTGGTGGTGACAGGAGGGGACACCGGGTGATGTCCCAGTCCTGGGTCCCCCGCTGCCCTGCAGAGATGTGACCTACAGGCTCTGTGGCTTGGGACAAAGGAGCAGAGGAAGGGTTTACTGGGGAGAGGAGTTTGAGGCTGAGCAGGGGAGATGGGTCTGCAGGAACCTGAAGTGGAGGGAGGAGGATGCTCCCAGGAGAAAGGGATGGGTGGGAAGGCGGACACTCGCAGTGCCAAGAGAAGTTTGGCTGTGAATGATTTCTGATGGATTGGGATGCTTGTTTTATAAATATATTTTTCTGCAGCTTTAACCTTGCCTCGGTGCATTCTGTGATAGCCATGTGTGCCTGGTGTGGCACACAGAGTGAGATGTTTGCTGCCTTTTTTGGCTGTTTTCTAAAATCGACAGCTGTGTGTGGGAATTGGGGCTTCTCAGAATGGGGAGACTTTTTCTCTCACAGCCTGATCTAAAGCCCATTGAAGCTATCGAAAGACTCCCCTCAACTGCCTTGGGCTTTGGATCCAACTGTCAGTGGGTGCCGCTTATTCCTGCCACAGACAGCGTCCTTTATTATGTATGAAAATAAACGTATGCTTTGCATACTCTCTGCCAGTGACTCCAGAGCCTCCCTAATGCAAGCAAAGGAGTGCTGGGGAGCATCCAGCTTTTCTATTTCTTTTCCAGCAATAAAGCCCATAGAAAATGTGTTGGCTGGCGTGTGTTTTCCTCACCTTTCCCTGAAGTTCAGGCAGAGTTTAGCACCCTGGTTCCTGCCACGAGCGGCAGCTTCCCCACCCCGGCTGCTTCCTCCCCCTCCTCTTCCTCGTGCTCCCGCTCCACCCCAAAGCTGCTACCTCTCCCCTTGCTGTCGCTGCTGTCTTTGCTGCAGGCTCTGGCACTACCGATGCTGAGGCCAAGCTGATAAATTCAGCTGAACCCGGCAATGTTTAATGGCCAGGCAGTTGGGTTTGGCCCGTGCTGGGGTTAACGTATTTCGGTCGAGCAGTAACATACGGTCTCTAAAGAGGCTGAAGTTTTGTGTGCAGGGTTCTGGTGGGGTAAGGAAATAGCTCGAGCATTGCATTGTGGTTTCCATAAACAGGAGTGCCTGGTAAAAAGCAATGGCTGAGGTGTATTTACACAATAAGATGAAGTTAGTGGTGAGTGTTGTGATAAGCTGTTGTCAACGCCTGCGGTGCCTTGGTGAATATGGTGGCTGGAACTGTTTGGGATGATCTTATCAGACTGGATTTCCAAGTGTTTAGCACCGAGCAGCTCCTGCCAAAGCGCTCGGCACCTGAGCACTGAGCTGTCTGGCAGCATGGTGTTCCAGTGGATCAGGTTCAGTGCTCTGCCCTGGCTGGGAAGGGGAGCTCTTCTAGAAGTCATTGCTGGGGCTGTGAAATAGATTTAGAGGCTGGAAGGTGAAGTGAGGATAGCCCCAAAAATGGGAACCGAAGATCTGGTTCTGCATCTTTGGCTGTGGCATCTTTGCTTTGTTTTTGCGAAATGCAGACTGCCTTCTTGTGCGCTTGTCTCCATGCCTTCTCCTGGGCAGCCCCCTGCAAACTGTACAGTGTCCTCCCCTTTCCTGGCTGAGCTCGCCCCCCCAAAAAAGTGCCATCTAAACCCAAGCTGCAGAGTTTAATTTCGCTTCTGGAGCAGCATGTCCCTCCGTGGCACTGCATTGCCTGCCTGCTCAGGGGATGCTAATATGCCCCACACAGAGCCCCCACCTGCAATCCTGACTCATCCTGGCTTGAACCAGAAGTGCCTGATTCTGGAAAAAGGAGAAGTTGCAGTGTGTAATTCAGCTTCCTTGTAAAACAGGCTGACGGTGCTCTCTGCACCTACCGAGGAAGATGCTGGGAACAGTCCTGCTGGCATCTGTGGTCCATTTTAATAACTGCCAACTTATCTTTTTTATGAAGCTGCTGGAGGCTTAAAGCAGCCTTTTCCTGCTCTTTCATGGTAGGGTTTGAACTCCTCCGCTTTGCACCTGGCAGCATTTTCCTCCTCTGAGTGAGTTCACTTTTTCTCCTTTTTTTTTCCTTGTATGCATGAAGAAAGATGATGCACAATTAAATGGGAAAGGGAGAGAGATGTCCGTGCATAGAGAGAGCCGTGGGGAGGCAACCAGGCAATTTAGTTTAGTGCTTAATATGGTCCAGCAGCTTTGCTGGGGTAGTGCAAAACTATGCACTGAAAATGAAGCAGTTTTCCTGGAGTAACGTTAAAAAAAAAAAAAGCATTTATATAAATTTTCGCTCACCTTAGTGCTCAGAGCTTTTAGCACAGCCTGGCCGGGCTGGGCAGCCAGCCCTGAGCTCTGCTCCGACTTGTCGGGTGCTTGCATAAATGAAGACAATTCTGACCTCTGCTGTTGGCCCAAAGCATCATCAGGCTGCAAAAAATTCAGCGCTTCCTGAGAAGATTGTATAATCTTAGCTGTAGAGTTGATCTTGGCATGCACTGCATGCTCTCTCTCCCCGGTAGCACTTCTTGGTACTTGCAGTTGGTGTTATAACACAGGTTACAAAACAGCTGGAGGTAAATCTTGTTTTCCTCCCCCTTGAGTGACAGGGAATCCTTGTCTGTTACTCATCCAGAAGCATAACATGATGATTACTAAAATGCAACATGGATTAAAACCATGTTTTTTCCCATAAATGAACAAAAAGCCTCAGAGCGCTTGGCAGGGCGGATGAGCAGATCCCAATCTCCAGCACCCTGCAGCCGTACAGCGGGAGCCCGGAGATGCTCGCTCACGTGGTGGTGAAAATGCTGCAAAAACCCAAGGTGTCTTCACGCGCGTAGCTAGGCTGAGCTCAACAAACTAGGATGGTCTGGGAAGGGGGTGGTTATTCCTGCACTTGCAATTAATTATAAAACTGCCGAAAGAGAAATAAGCCTCCCCTGATGGCGAGAGATTGGCATGAGATGTAAATCAGGGGCTGCTATATGTGGTCTAAATCTGCCTTCCTCATACGTCAGGCTGGGCTACTGCCACGAGCATGGTGCTGTTTAGGTGACTTCTAAGTCTGGTCCAGGCTGGCAGTTCCCACATAAAATGCACATATATTTTACGTTCCTTGTCTTCTTTCATATTTTTTTGTAATTTGGATAATGAAAATCAGTGAAGTTATCTCAAAAAGCAACAGAGCTGTCATCTTAGTAGCTACAGAAAGCTGAGAAACGCTGCTCTGAGAAGCAGACCTTTTGGGAGGTTTGGACCTTTCCCTGTTCCCAAAGACATGAGTTTATACATATGGTGCCCCTTGGCACCAGGGGAAGGAGCGGACCTCAGCAACTGGAAGCCCTGGTGCTCTTTTGGTGGTGGGGTGGTCTGCTGTACCTCCATTCGTCTTGGTGTGCTGGGGGGTGTGGAAAGAGACACTCAAAGTGGTCACGTCCACGATGAGGAGACTTGACTATTCTCACGTCCTGCGTCGTTGCTTGGTGTATCCATCTCAGATTTATCCCTTGAAATGCTCAGACAGAGAAGACATTAAAAACCCAAATACCCGCCTGTTGTGCTACCGCTTGGCTAGAAGCTGACGCCAGGCCACAGCCAAGGCTGTGTTAGAACACCCATAAAACCCGGTGTTTGGGGAATATATCCACGGTGGCATTTTAAGTAGGTAGGGAAGAAATGGAGAACAGAGAAGTCAGAGGCACATACGTATCTCCACTTTGCACTCTGATCCTTTAATGATCTTCTGATTAAAAGCTATTCCTAAAACATGCTGTTGCATTTGCCTTCATACAGTCTTTCTCAACAGTGGGCTATGGAGGAGTTAGCTATACGAGGTGATGCTCAGATGTCTTCGGTGGCTTTACACTGAAGCTGGGCCAGTAGGCCGTGGGGCGGCTGGATGACTTCTGCAGCGTCCAAGACCGCACCAGAAACCCGTCCTGGGATGGGGACATGGTGCCTGCAGCAACAGCAGTTTCACAGGGACAGGACTTTGCCCCACGGCTGCTGGGCTGGTCCAGGCCGGTCCTCCGGAGGAAGCATGTTCTCTTTTCACCCGCTTCACTTAGTTGTCTGCAGCTTTTCTATCATAGGGAATAAAATCCTGCCAGGGGCAATCTGCTCCACCCCAGTTATACACACAGCCTACTTGCCCCGTGCCTCTGAAATCTGGTCTCGCCAGTGCTTTCATAACCCAGCACGTGCTCTTACACTTGAGGAGTGGGGGAGTTTTTCTGAACCATGTCTCGCTCTGTGGGGCTATAGCTTCCTGAGGTCCATCGTTGCATTGCTGCCATATGGGTTTTCTGGGGTCTCAGGGCAAGTACAGTGCCATGGGCAGCATTGCTTTTGCCCCCAGGGCAGGGCGATCGTGATCCTGGAGATGTTTCCACAGCCTTTGAAACGCTGACATGTTGTTGTGTTGTGCAAAGCTATTTCTCTTTACCCGAATAATCAGCTTTTGGCAGGGTCCGGCTTGTGATAAGGTGTTGGGAGATTTGCCATGTGGTGCTGATGGGTTCAAGCATAGTTTTTGTGACTTCAGAAACAGAGTTCAGGATGGTGCATCGCCACCATGAGCTGTTGTGGCAGGTTGGAGGCAGAAGAAGGGTTAGGAGGCTGCGTTCTTGCCAGGGTGATTGCTACATCACCTGCTTGAAATCATTAGTTGAAGAGTATATTTGATTTTATGCCATCATGGATTTGGGACAATAATTTTTCATTGGAGTGTTTGTCAGTTTGGCTGCCTTAAGGCAGGTGTAATTGTATTTTTGCCATGAGCATCATGGGTTGCTCTGCAGACTCTGTGCACAACAGCCTCCATGGCACGGACATGTGTCGGGGGCACACGTGCACCCCGTTGGCACGCAGGCAGTGGTGATCCTCCTTTTTACAAAGCTAGACCCGGTGCCTGCGTGTCCTGGCCTGAGAGGATTTGCCTGGTTTTGCAAGAGCAGTTTGAGAAGCGCTTTGGTTTTTTCCAAGGAAAAAGCTACCTAGAGGGGAGTGGGTTTCGTATGCAGTTGTTTGGTGTCCAATGTTTGTCTCGGAGCTTCAAAAGTGAAAGTTCATGGTTTTGAAATATTCTTATGAGGGGAAAAAAAAGGAGAATGCATGCAACAACAATGAATTAGAAGTATAATATTTTTCCAGTTTGATAACATTTCCATGATTGTTTTCATAGTCCTTCAAAAACCTATATTTTGTATCAAAAAAAAAAAACCACCCACTTTTTTTTTGCAGTCTAAATTCCTCTTCTGCTGATTTGAGCAGTTACAAAATCATTGTTCTTCCTTTTATTTTCCGTTTCAGAAACCCCGGCTGGACTCATTGCTGAGAATCTTCTCAAAGCCAAAGAAATAGCCCTCAATGACTCTCGTGTTCCTGAACAGCTCAAGAATTACTTACAGAAAGCTCTTGATGTTGCTCTTGGACTAGACCCTTACCTGGATGCAATGGCAACTTCAAAGAGGTACGGGTACTCCTTTGTAACCTTCTGCTTTTTTCCTGTGATTTTATGAGTATGTTCTTAGATTTTTCTGTTCAGAATATGCCATAAACATGGGGGACAGTGGAAGGAAGAAGAATGAGAGTTAACTGCACCCAAATATATAGCAAAGTGTGCATGGACGTGTGTCCGTCCGTGTGTGCCTATGGCCTCAAGGAGACAAGGTGAGAACAAAAAGTCCTAACTCTAAATTTTGGAAGATATTCTACCAATTGACTATTGACTATGGCAATATCTGTGTTGGACCATATCCTGTAAAAAACCAGCAAGCCAGCCTCCACGCAGTGCCCGCTGAAAGGCTCAAAGAATGAGCCCCTGGGTCAAATTGGTGCTGAGATAAATAAAGAATGAAGAAAGCCTGCACCTCTGGATCCACCCTGTAATAACAGCCTTTATATGCAGCTTTTATCTCCAAGCGCTCAACAAACATTAATTAATCTGCTAACTAAATTACTCTAGTAACTAAACTAATTAATTAAACTAATTTAAGGTATCATTAATTCAGAAGTCCAACTGATACCCTCATTATTCTTTTTTGAGCTACAGTATATTACCCAGCCATGTGGGGTCTGCTAAACAATTCCCATTTATCAGTGTACATTTTGATATGTGGAAAAAGCCAGTTCTGTCTAAAATTGACAATGTGTAAACTGTTCCAGGCTGTGGATTACAGGAACGCTGAGTGTTCGTTCTGTTGCTGAAATAATAGCTGATAGTTGTTTGACTTACGCTTGCTGTACGATAATAGCTATACATTATCTTATTAAAGTTGTTAAAGCATTTGTGAGGGGCAGAAAAGAGGTTATATGAAATGTTCTACTCTTTAAGTCTTGGATTATCTGAGTGTGGCTGACACGGGTTATGAATTCTTTCTCATTTTACTGAGGAGTGGTAGGGGGAGCTGGGGGAAAAAAAAAAGCTCAAATGGCTCTAAATTCTGGCCCGCAGAAGTATCACCAGCCATTTCTGGTGGTTACTTTCTTCAGATAGGGTAATCTAATCTGTCTGGAGGCTATGGACTTCTTCCCGTCATCTGTTTCCTTCTCTTTGTAATAGGTAGCATCTCACTTCATCCAGAGACATCACAGGCCTGGCTTCTGTGAAATAGCATCTGGAGATACCTTGCTTTTCTCAGCAGTTAGTGAGGAAAACCATTTTTTGCCTGGTTTGTGAAAAATTTTACATTTTACATCTTTTCCCCTACTCTGCAATGAAACACTATTTTGGCTGAACCCCCCCCCGCCACCCTAGAGCTGAACGAAACCTGGCCAGGGCAGCTGGAGCCATTTACTCCAAACCAGTAGATAGACAGACACCTGTCTGGGACCAACTGGAAATGGGGAAGATTTGGGGTCGAGCAGTGGGGAACGCTTTCCTTCGGTCCCACAACCCCTTCTTCGCAAGCCCCTATGGCTGGAGTGGCTGCCAGCACTGAGACAAGCCTATTGCCAAGCCGGGTCCTCTTAGGACTGTAATTTAGGGATATTTATAACTCTTCTGGGCTAATTTTTCATGCTTACGCACAGATGAACCTTTTCCAGGAGTTCCCTCTTGGTTGCTGTTTTTTATGCAGGATATTCAGATTTTGGTTGTTACCATAATGTCGAAATTTCTTTCTTTTTCCAGAAAATCATCACCTGACCGTGGCCCGGGGGACGCTGGAGGAACTGAAACCAGAGTTAGGCTGCAGGAAGAACATGCCTTTGGCTCTTTGAACGGCAAGTTGGTCAACCAAGAGGATAAAATGACACCAGATTGGTGTAAAGGTTATCACTGAAGTTCATCATCCTCTACTCCGCCTTGAGTGGGGAAAGGATGAATGCCATGGAAATGTTCAGAAAACCTGGAAAATTACTTAAGGAGAAAGATAAGAACCTCCTGTAGGCTGTGATCTTCCTTTCGCATGAATTTTCCTTGTCCCCCACCTCCCATGCCCTTGTCCCCACGCACACGTTGGTGAGTGCTGTAATTCACAGTGCCAGCCCCATCCCTTAGAGAGCAGCAAAGAGATCATTGTCCTCACGGGAAGGGGAAGGAAGGGAAAAATCATGTTGGTTTGGGTTTGGTGGTGTCTGCTAGGGGTTTACGTGCTTTTGCGGTGCAGGTGGCCCATGGCCAAGCACCTGCACCTTTTCAAGTAGCAATACCCAGGCTTGTATCCCCATATAAAGCCTATTACACTAAATCTATTCCCAGATTCATTCTTCCCAGATGTTCCCATCTTTTGAGTAATATATCATCACAGTGAAGTACTCTTATAATGTATTACACTAATACATTGTTCAAAGGACACCACTGATGATAAATTTCTTAAATGATGGTGCTGTCTAGGGATAATGACTCTAAGAGCAAATGCAAGGTAATGTAGTGGTTTTTTTTTAACTGGGTTCCAGAAAGAATATGGAGACATCTTAAAGCCATTTTCATATGGGGGGAATGTTAAAATATGCAATATTTCAAGCACTATTTAACAAGCACTTGAACAATAGCAGCATTGATGATAAAGGTTCTACATTTAAAACCAGTCCCTTTATTCTGTTGTCTTTTAGCTGCATTTTAGATGAAATTTTGTCAGATTCTGTTGTTAAATCTTTATTTGAAAGTGTTTTAAGATTAGATTTTTTTTTTTAGTGATCACTTAAAATGTACATCTAATTTTCATTGTGAACAGGGTACAGTCTTTCCTATAGTTTTATTTTTAAATTTTCATTCTTGTCTTTCAACAGGCCAAATTTTTAGGATGTTTGTCCATATGATCAGAGCCAGGAAGATTTTATTAATTGGCAAGCTTAAAGGTTGCAGTATCCTTGCTATTGCAGAAGAATTGCCAGATGATGGCAAAATCTTTGCATGTACAGAAGTGCCGTATCTCGGAGCGAACAGCCAAGAAGCATTTGATTATTCTTCAGATGGCAAAAAGATAAGCATGCGAGTGGGACCAATGGCAGACACTTTGGAGGTAAAGTCAGTTGGAAGGGGATTTTGGGAGCTCTTGTGCAGAGCAGATTAAAGAATTTCGGGCAGGTCCTACATCCTCCCTGCAAAATGCTGGATGACGACCCTAGTTTGCTTGCAAATATGTGAACACACTCTTGCACTGGAGTTATTTCTTATTCGTGACAATGTATGATGGGACAGTTCTGTCACACAAGATACTTTTTCTCCTTTTTAACTAAAATACCGCAGCTTTTTGATCAGAGGAATCACCAGCTCTAACTGTAGGTCATTAGGCTTCAATGGCAGAGTTTTACTTGATGTGGGTGGGCTTTGTTTCAGGGTCTCTAATTCCAAATATAACAAGCTGGAAGAGTGTATCTGTGCCCTGCTGAGCCACCTCTTGAGTAGGACAGCTTGCTCCCAATGTTCACAAGAAGTGGGAAAGTCCTGAAGAAGTTTGTAATCCAACCACAACCTCTCACTATTTTCCCCCACTGAAAACACTGCAGACAATTAGACCCCAAGTTTCTCACTTCCAGAGCAACATGATAAGCTTCAGACAAGCAAATCTGTTAGCTGTATTTGTTTCATTCTGACTCGTGACTTTGTCCCAAGAAAGAGAAAAGCTTATGATTGCCAGCAGCTAGAGGAGTTTCACATTTAATTCCAGTTTATGGATCTCCAGGACATTGCTGCAGGTCCAGCACGCTAACAGGTGATGCCCATGCCGGGTTCATTAAATATATAGCCTTTCTATTATTAATGCAAACCAATTTGATTTGATTCCACTCCATTTTCAATCTGGATGTGTCAGTGTGAGCTTGATTGTAACCTTATTTGCATTAACAGGTACCATATTTGTTTCTAAATGAAATGGCCAGGAGCTTTCTGACCTCTGGCTTTCATGACCTCCAAGTTTGATAAGAAAGGAACAAAGAGCTTTGCCAAGTATATGAATAAACGAAACGTTACAGATCACCTGCAATGTGCAGCATTTAAAATCCCAGCTCCCCGCAGTGAGTGTGAAATTAATTGAATTGCTGTTGCTCTCTAGTGCCCATTCTGTGCAACTGACTTACTGTGACTGAATTAAAATATCTAGAGGCAGGCAGAGTACATGCTGTGTAGAGATTAAAGAAGGGAGCAAAGACATGAAAATTAAATCCTTAAAACGGAATGTTGCAATTGATTTTATATCCTCCGATTGCAACGCGAAGTAACATCCTGACCCCAGTTCTGCAAGTACTCAGGGCTTCAAATAGCTCTTGGAGCGGATGGGAGCGGAGATGCTCGTGTTCGGCAGGAGAGATCCCAGCACTGGGGACACCTCTGTGCAGGATTTCTGCACTGGGCTCTGAACTTTAGTTGCTCAACCTGGCAGGAATTTGGTCATTGGTACCAGGACAATCAGGATTGTCCTACAGGTCTTAATCCACCGTGGCTGTAAATGATGAAACAACGCATTTGGTCTCTCTGGTGCCTTTGCGTTTCGGGCTCATTGAGGTTTACGCGGCTGGTGTGGGGCAGCCATGTGGGAGCACACCTGGATTGCATGGAAGACGCTCAGGCTGGGGACAGTGTGCTGCCTTTTCCCTCCTAGAGAAAACCAGTTTAAGCTGGAGATCAAGCAGGCTTCCTCCACTGCCACATGGGCATGCTGAAAGGCAGGAGGACGAGGCAGTCACAGGCGGGAGATGGGCCAGGGATGGCAGAGCTGAGCTCAGCTTCATGGAGGAGGTGGAGAACAACGGTGTTTCTGTCCCCCACCGTCTGCAGGGAGGCTGGTCTAGAGCAGAGCTGGCTAACAGTTGTTGAAAAGCATCATGAGATTCAGGAGAGCTGGAACAAGCTCTGGCAAGGATTGCCTTTGTTGTCTATGCTGTCCGCAGCCTCAGGTCTCGTTCTTGTTCCTTTAGAGAAATTAGAGGGCAGAGAAGGTCACCTGCCATGTGCTCTTTGGAGGTGTTTGCTGCAGCTTTCTTGCTGTGGTGACTGTGGCTGAATTTTGCTTCCAGGCTGAGTGCAATAGGGCAGGACTTCTGCTTATCTGCTGCTTCTCAAATTTTTGCAGCAGTGCGAGCTCCTGGGAGCAGAGGATTTGCCTTGCTGCACCGACTCTTTCAAAGCACAAAAAATGTAATATGATATATAAATAACACTACCTGGCAGGGAAGTCCTTTTCTGCTGCATGAAGCTATGATTCAGAAAGTCCAAAATGCCAGAAGGTATACGATGTACTCTCACTTCTGGTGTAAAACTAGTCCACCCAAGAGTTACATCCTAGCCTTGGGTAGAGGCTACCATCCAAGTGCTGCAGGATGTGTCCAGTCCTGCGTCCACATCTGGCCTCAATGCCCTTTACAAAGAAAGCTGCCAGATGTTGCAGCAGTTGCCACAAGGATGCGGCACATCTGTGCCAGCGTGCCTCAGACAGCGGGGCCTTTGCAGCGCCCACGCGGCTCTGGCTCTTGCACCTACAACCGCGGCACATCAGGGCCGTGAGCGAGCGGAGGGCAGTGCAAAGGCAGCTCATCGGTCCGTAGCGGCACCTCGACCGGGCTTTCTGAAGCCTCTTGCTGCTCCTTTGCATTACCGCACAGCATTGGCAGAGTCGGCCAGATTCCCCGTCTCCTGTCCCAGATCAAAGCCAGCTGCAAAACATCTGGGATTTTGAGCTGTCAAAGGGTGATAAATACCAGACAGGGGCCACCCAGCTCAGGTAGACGGTGGGGTTCATTTTTCATACCTGAGAGCATGATGCAAAAAATCCACCTTTCCCACCCGTGAGGGACAGACGCTGCCGAGCTAGGTCCCCATCAAAACACGTAGCTCACATCCACCGTGGCACAAGCCTCTGTGCCCAATGACCTCAGTAATTTTTACGTAATATTTTGAAACGTGGACTGAGGGGGAGCCTTTCCTTGGGTTCAGGCTCTGATACAGGTGCTTTCAGTGGGATTTAGCTACCTCTTCAACATGTGCTGGGCCAGCATTTAAAAACCTTTCCCAACAAGCTCCTTAAGTCTAAACTCTGTCGTGCTGTGCCTGGATAATGTGCCTTGCCATACATCAGCTGTGAGCAAGAGGCCTGATCCTGCACAAAGCGCTTCCTTTAATTCCCGTGGACTTTCGGTTGAACAATGGATGCAGGATTGAGTTTGGAGGGAATGCAAACTACCAGGAAATTATTCCCATCCATGATTTTGATCCTTCCATTTTAAAATCGAAAATGCAACACAAAAAATAACACCTTGTTTGCAGCAGATTCTGCTGATTGCAGGGCATTGTGTAAGCATGTCGGGGTTTTCTTTTTTCTTTTTTCCCTCCTTTTACCAGACAGAATAGGTGAAGAGGTTGAGCTGCAGATCTCATTTCTCCTGTTTTGCTGCTTGTGAAGTCTGCCAACAGAATCCACCTTGACAAAGTCAAGGACTCTGCGTTTAATGTTGAACTGAGTGAATAAATTATGCATGAAATTGTGTCGGAGTCTCTAGTGTGCAGAATTGCTCCTTTTGATATGAAAGGTTAATTCAGAAAGGAGTCCAAAATAGCTGGAAATTGTGGGGATAAGTGGATAGTATTCACTGTTGTGAGCTGTTATTACTAGAAATTGCATTCCCTCTCTAGCTTCCCTAGAGATTTAGCTTTGCCGGTGAATATAAACTGTACTCAATAGAATAGCATTTAGGAGTAACAAGAGTGTATGTCCACATACAGTAAAATATTCTAATGGTGTTTTAAAAGGAAGCTGTACTTTTTCATGTATTCTGTGTACCCTAAGGATGGATTGCTATTACATTTAGGTCAAGAACAAGGCATAGGGAAGGTAATAAGTTTTGAGTACATCTTTATTACAAATATGCTGACTGTATGATCCATATCAAAGGAACTGGACAGTCATTTTTTTTCCGACTGAGTTTGTATGTGCCTTATGAGAGAGTGTTGTCTCTGATCAGGACTCCAATCAGGTGTTCTCTGAGCTTTGGCAGAAGACTCATTCATGTTTTCATTCGGGATGTCCTCTCCCTGATCTTTTGCTGTATCCGTCAACAGTGCTGCTGTGCCCTTTCTTATGCTCGTTTTCAATGCATCTCCTCTATGGAATGCAGTGCTACAAGTTTTTTTTTTTTCTTTTTTTAATCCAAAAGGAAGTTAATGACTCACTGTAAGCAAAAGCATTAATTTTAGCCAAGTTTGCTCTGAATTAAGACACTTCTTGTTGCCATCTGTTACCGTCTATGATGCCTCTGTAGCAAGGAGCAGGGATTGCACTGTAAACATTCAGGAAATTAGTTTCAGCGGGATATTTTTCAGGCAGATTATTTCCTTCTGGATCTCAGCTTTCCTCACAGTTGGAGAGGTTTGGGCTCTGCCTCTCTCCTAGCGAGGGACAAAGGCATCTCCAACGTGCTGTGAGGTCCTAGGCAGGGCCTGACCGAAGTCTACTTTGGGAGGACAAGGGTGGTCAATCGCTCCTCTTAACCCCCTCATCCATTTTGAGAGGGACAGCCCCGAGTTCTCCTCTCCACCACTGCACTGATATTTCCAGTGTTCAGCTCCACAGTCAGAGCTGCCAGTAGAGCGACATTTTTTCTTTCTGGCAGTCTTGGTTCAGCTGCAGGTGGTGGCAGGGAGGAAACCTTCTCCAGTGTGGTACCCAGGCCATGGTGACCACATGTCTGGGTGACCCACTCTCTGCTAGCCAAGGAACTCAAGGAGATGGAGCACTTTCCCATTCCCGTGGCTGTTATCCTCTTGTGTAGAGGCTGCTCTGGAGGCAAAGCTGCTTCATGGAATTTCATGGATTCCCCTTATACGCCTGGAGCTGTTTCCAGCTAAATAGGGAAAACCCAACAGCAATCTTGAAGCTGTGGAAACAAGAAGCTCAAATGGCAGGGTCCAGGTACGAACTCTGAGGCAGTGATGCAGGCATTTCCATATAGGTGCCTGGTACTAAGTATCTAGAAGAAATGAAAGGTGCCTAGGTGACCTTCGTGGCTGGCCGTTCAGGACTTGATGAACTGGCAGAAGAGAAATGCCTTCCAAACGGCGGCCTTGCACACCCGGGCAGTGCAAGGACAAGACAGGCGTGTGCTGGGTACACATACAACACAGGCACCCTCCTGGGATGAAAGCTGTGAAGTTAAAAGGTGGTTTATCTGTATCAGAAGATAGATAAGAAGGCTACAAGCTGTCAGCAGGTAGGCAGTACAGAAAGAGGGCTGAAATGAGAAGTCCAGCTAATATCCAAAGAGCTACACAACTCCATATGGACCTAATGAAGTCAATGCATAAAAGTGAGATTCTTTTTCATTAGGGAGCCATACCACGGAGCAGTAGTAACATATGTTCAGAGATGGCCACATCTGCTTCTGAATGTCTGTCCCCCACCTCCTCTGCCCGGGAAGGTTACAAGTCAGAAAGTAGTGATAAGTCATGATAATTACTTGAATTCGGCTTTGGCTCTTCTCTCTGGGGAATGAGACCTCTAATCTCTCTTCCTGATGGACTCCCGCTCCCAGCTTTCATCTTCTGACCCTTCCTAAAGTATCTACATTGGACAGACTGGCCGAGTTGCAAAGATGCCCTTCCACAGTAGCAAAAATATTCCTGCTGCTTTCCCCCAATACAGCTCAAGAGGGAACCAGGGCAAAAGTTTCTTACTGGTCATGAAATGAAAAGATGAATCCCAGGAAACCAGATGTCCCAGTTTCTGCTACGTTTATTATAAACCAGCAGATATTTGGCCTTAAGGTCTTCTTTCATTATAGTGTAGTATCAAAAGGTGTCCAAAATGTGGACTCATGAATGCTTTTGGCAGAGCTCCTGTGCTATCAAGCATCTGCAATTAAGTGTGACTATCCAGGCTCTCAGGCAGGCTTAATTTCTTAACCACTAACGAGCTCACAATGACACCAGTTTGCACAATAGAGTAATTCAGAGCTTCAGTGATCCACTTCCTGCTATTTCCTCATCTGAATGACGCACTCCCTGCTTCAGAAAGGCTCCTGAAATCTCTGTTTGGGAGCCATCAACCTCATTCCCGAAAACAAATTAGTTTTTCACATTCTGTTGCCATTTGTTGTTGATGCTTTCTCTCGTACATCTCAGGGGATCGCTCATCACTCATTGTGCACAATGTCTCCAAACACAAAAGGGAAATCTGGACGCAAGAAGTACTGTTAAAAGTTGTGGTAGAAACAGTGAGTTCTGGAAAACATAATTGTTTCTCTTTTCGCTCGAAATGCCAAGACTTGAAAGCATTTCTGCTTGCCGAGATAGGTGGATGAGCCGTTGTTTCATTGCAACGCACACAGATGCAGTTAAATAGTCCCAGATGGAATCTGAAATATTCCATAGCAGCCTCTTGGGCAGCGAGTGCATTAACTGCCACAGGAGAAGGCTGTAAAGGCTCCCATCTGGTCATCCATCAACACTTTTATACATTATCATCAGCAGCCTGCTTGGAGAGAAGGTGTGCCACATTTCTGAAAATCCAATTAGATGATAGCAGCCAGTTCTCTTTTATCCTCTCTGTTGCTGAGCCATCCAAAGCATTTTTTTAGATTAAAGAAACATCATTTTCCTTCATAGGAGCTGCACTGCTTTATCTCTATCATGACCTGTTCTTTTATGTGCTTTATAATTCTATTATTAATTGGGATTTCAACCATTTTCCTGCTACTAAAGTGGGACTTACTAGTTTGCAATTCCCAGGATCAGCCTTATACCTCTTTTTCCCAGACTGATATAATTGCCACTCTTCAATTTGTTAATAGTTACTCTTTTGAGAAGAGATAACATATTGCAGCACCTCAGCTGCAGGGTTTGATGCCAGTCCTCTCCCTCACCCTGATGGATTAATTCGCTTTGACTCTAGGTATGCAGATGTTTCTGCTGTCACTCTCAACACCACAAGTTGGGATGAGCCATCCTCTTTTATAGCCTGATTTTCTTGGAGAGTTTCAGAGTTTTGGGCACCAGCATTGCTGAAGAATTGTTTGCAAAGCATGGAAAACTCCCAAGATCTCCCCAAGTAATTCTAGCAATGTTACCTTAAAAGAACAGGATTCCCTCCGGTTTAGATTTTATATAAAGAACATTTTAATGACAAGACTTTAAGTTTCCAGGTAAATAATTAGTGTTTTCTCCAACATAATTTTTTTCCAGGCATTACATGCTGAGGATGAGCACTTTGATATAGTCTTTATTGATGCTGATCAAAGGAACGCTGTTAACTACTACAGCTTTGTCATGGATAACCACTTGCTGAGAATGGATGCAGTGATCTGTGTAGAGAATACACTCATGAAAGGACAAGTCTACCTGGAGAACATATCTGATGAAAATGTACTAGCTGTCAGAAAATTAAATACAGTGATTAATTCAGATCCTCGTGTTGAGCAGGTTAGTGCAATGCAATTGGTTAAGGTGCCTGTCGTACTGTAGCTATGGATTTTGCAAAGTACTCTTTAAAATGTTTCTTTTGTTGGTGCCATTATCTAGAGGACCTAAAATGAACTCAAATTTTATTATAATTCACCTCACTTGAGCTCTATGTATGAGTTTCTATATTCAGAAATGGTCCCTACTCTCTGTCTACGCCACATAGAGCGTTAAAGGCAAGATAAAAGTGGAGCACTTAAGAGTGACTAATCAGCTCCACAGCACAGCCAAGGAACCGCCGCTCTGCTTTAAAGGCTCTGCAGGCTGTAGGGCATCACCAGCACAACAGGAGTCAATAAAGTCCTACTTCAGCAGGACAAAAAAAAAAAAAAAAAAAAAAGTAATAGGGTGCATAAACAATATGCTGTGGTTCTAGAGGCAAAATTATACACTTCTCCTCCAGGGCTTTAGCAGTAGGCATGAATGATGCTACCCCAGGGACGCCGTGCCGTGGCTGCACCGGGGTGGCCGAGGGGCTGCCATGCCTGGGGGAGCCACCGAGGATGGCCGGATCCCTGCCTGCCCTTCGGCACCGTAAGGCTGGTCCCACGGTGGGAGAGGTGAGGTCTGCCACCTCCGTCCCACCCACCCCGCTCCCCACCACTGCTCCCCACGGCCCCCGGGGGGTGAGGTTCACGTTTTGGTGTGCGCCTCGTAGCCTTAAGGTCCTTGTCTATCTGCAGGTGAGGTGGTCTCTGGAGGTGCCTCCTGGGATTCTGTGCTGTTCTATCATCAACACAACTACCAGCTAATGTACCAGGAGCGACAGCTTTTCTTTCTAGGAGAGGGCAAGATTAATGACAATTTTCCATGCCCTGAATCTTACTGTTAGCCATTCAATGCATGTAGATAGCATGTGGTTTCCTATCTAATATTCTAATAGTCTGATATAGGTGTTGAATCTCCAACACCGACTGCAGCTTTCACTAAAGTGTGATAATGGTATCAGAGAAGGTAGGTGGCAAAACCCACTGACGTTCGTCTATGGGTGCAGATGTTCTGGCAAACGCTGAAGAACACTGAAGTGTTGCTATTGTGGTGTGCTGAGCTCCAAGAGTAAGACTGGAATATCCTCATGACAGCAGTAGCCAGGCAGTGGAAACCCAGAAACCTCAGCAGCTGGCACCGATTTAGAAAACGGAGTGACAAAACTGCATTTTTTTTCCTGGCATTTTTGGAAGCCATGAGTTTGGAAGAGGAATGTCAGCAAATACAAATGCCTGACATATTTGTGTTGGAAGGAATGTCAGCTAAAGAATAGGAGTAAGAGAAGAGCTACTTTGACCTAAGGAAGGAAGGACTATCCTTCATGTCAGCGGAATTTGGGTGATAGAAAACCAGGTACCGAGCAGTTGAGAACTGTGTGTGTGTATGCATTATATTTGCAGATAATTTTACCTGTGCAGAATGGACTGAGCATCGTTCGAAGGAGCCATGCACTTCCAGATGCAGTGATTGAATCCAAGGTGTGTGTTACCTCTCTGTGAGCACTTCTGGGAAAATTTTGACTCTGCTGAGCACAATGACAAAAATAATTTCCAGGGGTTTGGTGGGGAGAGCCCCAGCTCACATTCTGTCATGCCATGGCACTGTGCAGCATGGACTTACCAGCATAGGGCTTGGCACATATTAGCCTCACTAGTCCAGGGTTACACTAAAGCTATTAAATGCTGATTCCTTGCAAAATCTTTTGGATCAGTCATGCTGGTGCCATGATAAATCCCTGGAGCGGCTGGCGTGCTGCTCACTGGGTGTCTGTGCCCGGTGCTCTTCGGTCCTCACTTCAGGGGAGCGTGGGCAGATGGAGCCGGGGTCCAGCCATAATAAACCAGTGCAGTGTTTCTGAAGTAGCTCTTTTTTTGCTCAAAGGCAGCACATGATGCCCTCCTATGGTCTCCGAGCTGAGTATTTTCACGGCCTTAGATTTTGCTTGTCCTGTGGAAAAGACGGTGTTTTTATCTTTCTCCATTTTATGTTGTGGGCATCATCCAGCTGTAATGAAATTCCCATCTGGAATCGTAATGGCTTAACGCAGTAAATCCAGTCCCAAATGTCCTGATTGTTTTGCAGTTTCTGAGTGCTCCCAAAGCTACACCCACTGGTAATTCCTGGCATTTCAAACTCAATATTTTAAACATCTTGTATTTTCCATTTTGATTCCAGTCAGGGGGAAATGATGTATGGCAGCTGATCAGATGACAGCTTGGTTTAAGTTATTGGCTGATACCTTTATTTGCGCACCAGCCTTGTGAAGATATTTTGATTGCACTCCGCTTGAGCCAAATCCTGCCTTTGGAAACTTGTTCTTAGCCTCCGTGCCTTCCTGGAGCCAACTGAGCCTGACAGCAGGATTGGGCCCTGAGGGGGAAATAACTGGAAGACTTAATCAGTCATCTTCTAAGACATGGTACCTGACCCTTCTCCCATGGGAAGCCGGGTCGGGAAATGCCATACCCTACTCTCATGTAAGTGGAGTGGTCGGTGCATCTCCCCAAACCACAGCCCTTCTGCTCCATCATCTTCCACCTTAGTGCTTCTATTGAGACTCCTATCTGTAGGGATATGGGTGCTTTTTGGCTTGAATTAGTCATACCTTTTGTATTAAATAATGAGCCAGGAAGACATGGATCCCTGTTCGTGCTCCCACCTCATTCTCACAGGCAGAGTCCTTCAGAGCTATCACTTACTGAGCTTTGCACCTTATTGTGCAATGCATATTTGTTTTTATTTTAGAAAGAAGTGGTGAAGGATGACGTCTTCTGGGGTTATAACAGGTGCCGCATCCTTGACCGTCTGCGTTTGGATGGCAAGGTGGCTTACGTCACAGGCGGAGGGCAGGGAATTGGAAGAGCCTTTGCTCATGCCCTGGGAGAAGCCGGTGCTAAAGTAGCCGTTGTGGATCTGGTCCTTGCAAAGGCAGAAGCGGTGGTGTGTGAGCTCAGCCTCAAAGGTAAGCACAGGACTGACCCGCAGGTCCTGCTGTACGTAAGCCAGCGCTGAGTGCTGTAACGGGCTGCTTTCCTTGTTCAGACCTGACCCTTTCTCTGCAGTGCAATTATCTTCCATCCAGCCCTGATGGGGAATAAGTTAGAGCAAAGGATTTTCAAGCAGCAAATACATGCCCTGGTCACAAAGCTTCTCCTGTCCAGGCTGGTTGTCAGCATTGTCTCAGCAAACAGTCATCAATATCACATCATCTGCGAGAGTTATTTATCAATATAAACTCAACCAGAGAGGCAAAGTGATCCAAACAAAATTCCTTGCCAAGAGTGCCCGAAGGAAACACAGCAGTGAGCCATGACTGACAGGGACAGAGAAGGGCCACCTCTCGCAAATGAGATCTGTATAACCTGTATTGAACAAAAAGAGATGGTGTTCCTCCGAGTAAATCATGCAGCAGCCAAGGCACCTCGGGCTTCACTAAAGACGCATGACAGACATGGTCTACGAACTCATTAGCACGTACCCCCTCCCTGGCACCTCTTCCATACCTAATGTCTGGACTGTGAAGACAAAACCCCAAACCAAGGTAGAGGTATTGTCAGCCTAAAGCTCTCATTGTGCCCTCAAATTGATGCAAAGTCATTTTTTAAACCCTCGACTATAGTTCTTTCAAACGTGCATGCAAGGTCAGACATAGGAACGAAATACTAATAGACAGAGTAACTAAAATCCCAAATAAGAGGTAAAAATCTTCTAGAAGCCACTTCTATTTTAGCAGTAAAAACAGAAAATGTAACATAAAATTGAATTTCCCCCTAGAGTCGTGCTAAACTGCAATTGTAAAGGGGAAAAAGAAAACTAGAAATATAATTTTAATGAGAAAAGAAAGGAAGTGTTACTCATTTTGTAATTCCTTTTGTGAGATTACAGCTGAGCCTTCTTCTGAGTTCAGTGCTTCATTGCCTCTGAAGACGGAGCTTTACCCAGGAAATTTTCACATTCCCATTTGGATAAAGTCACCAGTATTTATTTCCACTCTGACTTCAGAAAGGGATCAGGCCATTGGAAACGATATTCTCCAGCAAAACCAGCCCCTGCAGATGTATTTCTATCACCCAGTCTCAGTCAACTTCCTGAGGAAAGGGAGAGGAATGGTTCAGTTCTGGTTTTGATACCATCCTGAGCCTCCTCAGAGAACATCCTAACCAAAAAGTCTCAGCCTGTACGATCCCAGCTCTAGTAAGCAGGAGACACTTTACACGGAGTGTCAGTGTAACGGTTAAAGCTCTGATTGCTGGTCTGATCCCAAATAATGACCTAGAATAGAAAGTGTCCAGCTCCTATTACAAATTCTTGAGTCATCCAGTCCCTCCTTCCCTGAAGCTTTTCATTTTCTTATGCACTAAAGCCATATGGTCTTGGCACAAAGTAGCTGTGCCCTACAAGTTAACTCACCTTTTGGACATTTTTTCACAGTGACATCCTGCATATCAAGTAGAGCTATTCAGATAGAAATGGGCTACTTGATAGAGCCGTGAGACTTTGGATGCCAACAGCCTATTTGAAAACTAACTTAACTTATCTCCAGGGCATTTTCAGTAGGAGTTTGATCATCCATCCTTCAATGGCTGCCCTACATCTCTGCTCCTTCACCGGTGGGCTGCAAGCTCGGAGGAGGTGGGGGGGTGTTACAAAATGCAGTCGGAGAGGTCACGAAGCATAGCAAATATTATTGCGGTCTAAAGTAAAGAAAATCTCGCTTCTCAGTCTTTACACATCTTTATCCTTTGAGGTCAAATATTCTCTATCAACTTGACCAGTGCTGCTGGTCAGGGCACATCTATTCCATCTCATGACGGTTTTTGAGGTTTCAAATTTATTGTCATTCCTCGTTGGAACAAACCCCAAACTTTGTAATGCTTTTGTGAAAGGGAATTATAATCAAATGCCCAATTTTGGAAAGGATGTGAAAAGGTCAGGTTTTCAATCTCTTTCTCTCCAGAGGTAACGAGAGAGTCTAGCCTGGACCTCAGAAGCTTTCCCTTGAAAACTTTTGTTGAAATCAATATGTTTCCATGAAACATTTTGGCTTCAAAGAAGTAACGTACTCTGTTGGAAATAAATTTTGACAAAAAGGTTCAGCTAGCTTTACTCTCAAAATATTCACATGAGTAAATTGAAGCAATCGTAGTATTAATACATATTTTTCCTGCTATAATAAGCACAAAGGAGCTGTGATTCCCCCCCCCCCCCCTTCTTTGGTTGTGGATCTCTTACTCAAAGTTGGAAACGCAGTGCCCCAAGTCATTCCCATACTGATACTTTTTCAAAACATTTTGCTTAGCTTTCTTAAACCGGCTTTGCTTCTTATACCAAGGAGCCCTTTACTGTCTTTTGGGATGGTGCCATCATTTCATGATGAGTTTTAAACATCAGAACCTCTCTGATCTCGGTTTTAGCTTTGTTAGACAGCTCGGGTGTATGTCCCTTGGCTACAGGGGTCTTTGTTTTTAGATCCTGCGTGAATACCTTTTTCAACAGTTGCTGATGGATCCTGACAGAAGAACCAAAAATGATGAAACATAACCAAAAAATCCTAAGGGTTACCTTCCACTACATACCCCTCTGTCTTCAGGGGGAATCGCTGCCTGTACCTTAAGGGAAGAATTAGTCTGATGGGATTTTTAGAATGTGCATTTTCACTGTAAACTATGCAAATGCCTTCCCCACAATGTCACTTCTGATCTTCTTGTCTATATGCAACATGTGACTTCCATTTATACTGAGAGACCAGAGATGAAGCTCGTGACAGGGGGGCCATCTTCACGGCCCCTGCAGAAGGGCACCTCGGGCAGATTCGGCACATGGATGTCTCTCCAGCACAGAGCCGCTGGGCTCCTCTCCTGCCCCTCTCATCACACAGCCGCCTCTGTGAGCATCACAGAACTAAATTGAGGACCGTAGGGATGCACTGGCACCATCATGCACGTAGCAGCATGGTCATGGGTTGGGTTTCTTACCTCCGGTTGGGACTACAGATTTTAAGCTATCTTTTCATAGTTTATTTTATTTATTGTTTTTAACAGATGGTTTGGGGGGACAGTGGAGAGACAGAGAGTGGATTTTTTTTCCTCTCTCAGAGTGCAGGGATATCAGCTGAATTGATTAAGGTCAAGTGTGGGACTCTGGTTTGAAGTGAGCGTGCCTTCACTGCTTCTTCGCTAGATACTCACGCGTGGCACCTTTTGTGCTGTTTTTGTGAACTATTGTATAAGATGAAGCCATAAATGGGGTGAGAGTTGGAGGGCAGGTGAAGAGCCTCATTCTGTTACCATTGGTAACACGCACCCATTTTGCCTGTAAATTGAATAAGAAAGATTGCAGCAGCTCCCTGTACGTTACATGTCTTGATAACAATTAGGAGGAGCAACGGGGGCTGTCTGGCTGTTCTTATTCTTTCAGCGTATTTAACATAAAACCTGTGATAAAATAAGAAGTCTTGTTTTGTAGGAGAACATGCATTCATTTTTGGAGGTGGCTGCATTATGGATCTGCCCTTTTCTCCCATGGAGAGCAAGGGGACCGTGGCAGAGCTGAAGGCCAGAGGGGACACAAGGTCCCATGGTCCAGCATGGGGAGCACCCCAGACCAGCATCACCTCGGGGCGTGCGCTCTGGCAGGCTCCTGGAGGCTTTGGACATCAAGGGAAGCTTTTCCATCCAAAAGCCTCTTTCCTGTCATTTTCTTCAGACATCACTGGGCAATTGTTGCTTTGCCTTGCTTTCATGGAAGTCTCCATCTCAAAGCTTCATTTGGGGAGAGTCTTCTCCTATTCTTCTAGGATAGGCTTAAGGCTTCTTTTAAGATTTTATTAGAATGATCTAAAAGAGGGACCAATAGGGAATACATTTTCCATTTAAATAGAAGTAAAAAATCTTGCTTTAACAGCTGTAACTTCCTACCTGGGCACTGTTTGCTTGCTGACTGCTGATCTATGGTCCAACCCCAGCAGCTGCCTCCCTCCTTGTGAGTCAAGACCCATTTCACCACAGCCCTTACTGGTGTAGCCTTGTTTGACTTTCAGGATGGGTGTAATCCTACTGGCATCAGGTGCCTCAGTAGGCTGCTTATTTTGTTTAATAATAAGGGTATTTAAAGCTGATTTTCATAGTAAATTAAATGAAGATATTTACGGATCAGCACTGGTGCGAAAATCAATGCCTGGGTTTTTCTAGGAAAAAAAGCCCATCTATTGCATGTTTCAAATCCAGTAAATCTCTTAACTTCTGAATGTTTGTATTATTCTGGTAGTGTGATTTGCGATAAATAAGGCCAGGCACCGTGACTACCACACCTGTGACCCTGCAGGTATTCCCAGTTAGCTCCCACCTAAAACTGGTTTGATTCTGTCTGAGGCTCCAAGCTGTCCGGATGCCGTAGTTCATCCAGAGAGCACTTTTTGGACAAACTGGTTTGATTTCTGCAGCATTCTGGGGGGCAACTGGCCTAAACACCATCTACATCTGAGCAAATGAAAGAGTCCTTGGCTTTACCTTGCTCCTGAGCATCCACCCACGAGTGATGCTGGTCTGTGGAAGCTGCAGTTGAGGGTTTGGACAGAAGATGGTGCAGTGTTCAAAGCTTCGTCCTGCTGGAGTGGCAGCCTCCACTCCTACCTCGGGTTTGGGTTTGCCTCCAACAAGCAAACCTCGAACCAGTTAGCAACTTTAATAGCAGTATCACTATAACAAGCACCTATTTTGCTATGATTTGTGGAGCGATGACTTAAGGTGGCACATATATATGTAAAATACAATATATATATATGAATTAACAAATAAACATAACATGGATTTTTTTTTTTCTTCCTCTATGAATTCCTGTACCGACTTCATCACTCTCATTTTAATGCAGGGATTAAAAGCATTGCCCTCGCAGCAGATGTAAGCAAACCCGAGGATGTGCAAAGGATTGTGGATACAATCGTAGCTCGCTGGGGCACAGTTCACATTGCATGCAACAACGCGGGAATCAATATGAACTCTGCAAGTGAAGATACTTCCCTAGAAGAATGGGACAAAACTTTTAATATTAATTTACGAGGATTATTTTTGTGCTGCCAAGTAAGCGTGAAATGCTGTACTGGTTTGTTTTGCAAATGCGTAACAATTTTCTAAGCATTTACTTTACCAAGATTTAATAACAATTTATTACTAATTATCACGATAAAATTGATCCTAGTTTTGGTGGAGTTAGGGAGAGATTTCCTTTATATCAATCACAGATTTTGGTCAATATTTTCAAAAGCAGCTGGTACTTACTGGCTGCCCAAGCCCAGTCATTTAAGAATGACCAGATTTTTTTTGGACAGTAGTTATCTGACGCATTCTGAAAACCAGAAAGCTGGGGGGGCCATTCCCAACATTAGTGATTATTTTGAAAAAATATTGCCAAAAGTGAAGAGGGTCTGAAATGGCAACGGGATTTTTCCTACATCAGCCATTTTTATACCAAGTTTTTATATCAAGTGCTTAAAAAAAATGTGTTAGCACATAAACTCTTCTGAAAAGTGAAGACTAATTTATTATCATGTCATTATTAGCACAATCACAAAAAGGGTCACTGGTCTTTCCTTTAATTTCTGTCACAGGCTGCAGGCCGCATTATGCTGAATCAAGGATATGGGAAGATAATTAACACAGCATCTATGGCAAGTTTAATAGGTGAGTGATGAGAGTTAACAGTTGTGCTTCAGAATCCATATTTTAATTACTACCGATGCTATTTGAATCAATTAAACCTGTATTGGGAAGGAGTAAATCACTGACATTTTGTATTAGAGGAAATGTACTACAAAATTTTTATTGATACCATTTTTCAACATTTATCTGTTCTCTATGTTTTAGAGCACTTATTACTTTTTATAGAAGAGGCGGAGTCACCTCCTCTGACTCCGATGCACTGATGGCATAGGAGAGGTGCTGGTGCACTCCCCAGGAATTTCAAGCAAACGCGTTTGAGTGCGGCAAGCTGTGCCCCCGAGATGTTTACGAGCCACCCGAATGCTTTTGCACTGGTTTTCGCCCCGGTACCCGCGGGTTTTATTTCATTATCGTTGCCAACAGGTGTCTCCACCAACGCTGCTGAATCAGCAGTGTCGTCAAAAGCGCCAATAAACCATCGTAACATATGGAATGAAATCCCTACTGCTGAGCTAATCTGGAAGGCAGTTACATGCTGGTGAACTGAGGCCCATGTAACAAAAATTGATCAATTACACAAATTAAGCATAGCCCTTTAGGAATTTATTTTATTGGTCTGGACATCTGTTGCAGTATTGTCCGAATCCAAAAATCAAATGGTGCCTTGGGTTGCCAAGTTAGGCAAGAAAATCTAGTAGCTATAAAAGTACAACTGAAAACTCCTGTATTAATATCATGTCCATCTGCTGAATGTTACATAAATATGCAGTCCTTTTATTTTCCTTGGGAATAACATTTATTTTTACTGTGCCCAGTTTGACATTCTGTGACATTCTGCTCAGTTTATTGCACAGTAACTTTAAATGTTTCTTAAAAAATGCATTTATAATGTCGTTGTTAATCTTTTTTTTCAAGTGTCTTTACCAGCTGTTTTACTTATGCTTAAACACAGGCACCATCCCTCCGCCCCAGCTTTGCAGACTTACAAACTCTCCCAAAGAAAAATAGTTTTGAAAAGAATGTAAGGCTTTAAATTTCAAATGCCCAAGACTTTTTTTTTTTTTTTTTTTGTGCTCTGCCCTGCACAGTGGGGCTCTGGTCTGGGCTTGGGCTGTCACCGTCCACATCCTTGTCACAAAGCAAAATTTACGGGGAAGTATTCCACCCTAGGGAAAGTTATGAAGCTCTGGAAATCGGCACCAGCTGGGGGTCTGCTGGTGTGGCACACTGCTCCTAGTCTTGCTCTTGCAGCCCAGAAGTGCTCTCCACTGCTTGAGGAGAGCTATTTCCCAGCTTCTCCATCAGGTCCTGGCACAGTTCTGCTGAGCCGGGAGGTGATGCTGTTCCACCGCGGCATCCATCCCAGCCCCAATTCGGGGCTGCACCTCCTCGGCTGGCATGCCAAGTCCACTGAGACCCACGCGGGAATCACGTTTAAGGGTGGTATCGGTCCTGGAGCAGGAACAAATACTGGAAAGCAACCCTGAGAGCAGCCTGGAAGGGTCATTGCAAGATGCATTTAAATGTCATTGAAAGTTAATGCATGCTAGGCCAGAAGTTAAGAGACGAAGAGATGTGTTTACCTTCTGAACCTGTTTGAATCTTGGCATTGAAAAAATCTAGTAGTTATAAAACTACGACTGAAAACCACGATGTTCATATCATGTCCATCTGCTGAATGTTAAATAAATATGTTGGTTGGTTGGTTATTTAAGTATGTTGGCCAACTGGCATAGTATGAAATGTTTCTAGAAATAGTTAGGGGATATTTTTTTTTTTTGGTAGGTTGAGTCCTTCCTCAGAGATAGAGGAAAATGAGGAGACACTTAGCAGGATAGGGAGGTTTTTGTTTGTGATTTTTCCAGATACACTGCTCAGAATCAGTTTTAATTAATTGAAGATAAGCTGCATACATTTTGCATATGTGCATTTTGATTCTGGTATTTCACTGGAATTGTTCCAGACGTACGTTTCAGCAGCGGAGATGAGGCTGCTGCGACTTTGCGATTTGCACAGGTGTAACTCAGATCCGTAATTTTTGCAGTGAATATCTTTAGTGGTAAGTGGTCTGGTCTTCTCTATCTGTGTGCACCTCTCATTGACATTACATGGCTGCTTCCAAGTCAGGCTAGAAGCCTTATGCACCGAACAAGGTTGCAAAAACATAGTGTCAGGTGTTTAAAATGTAATGCAGCTGATGTTGGCAGCGTTTTTATCTGCTTTCCTCCTGTCTTCTCCGTCTGAAACAGGAATGAGCGTCCTCACTTCCCAGATGCCCTACAAATTCAGATTTTTTTGGTGACACTGCTGGAGGCACAGCTTTATTTACGAGCTCTAGCCCCGTTTTGTACGAGTTTGAAGGGTCGCAGATTTGCTGTTCTGTCTGTAAGAGACCACCTTAGGTGAGGGCAGAGGAGGCAGCGTGGGGTGCTCAGCTGCAGAAAGCCCACCCAGCACCAGAGCTTCGCAGCTCCCGTTGCCGCCTTCTTAAGCTCTTCCAGTTGAGAGGGGCTAAGTGCCTCAGGAGGGGGAAATTTCATCTTCTGAATAACCTTCCTTAGATATTCTTAGGAAGACAAAAGCATTTACACGGAAGGACTCTTGAAAACCCTCTCTCAGCACCCACCCCAAATCAGAAAGCTGATTCTGATAGCTTGCAGCAACTTGCTGTTCTCACCCACGTGCGCTAGAGGTGCGGAGCCGGTGCCAAAACTCTTATCCTCTTAGCAAACGCCGAATGATTTATCACAAACAGACATGTTTGGAAAGTTTAGCAAAGAACCGCTTTTGGGAGGTTACAAGGTTAACTACCGAAGTTGTATGTAACTTGGAGCTGATGCGTGGCAATTAATCAAGAAATTACGTTCCATATCTTTTCGAGAACCCACACGGTGCGCTGTGTCTGGGGGCAACAGGCACACGCAGAGGACAAAGCGGTTCTGCTGGTCAAAATGCGAATTATTTCATATTGAACAAAAAATGAGCGCAGAAAAAAATGCTGGCAGAGGGGGGCCATGGTGTGAAATGCTCCTTGTAGCAAGCAAAAGGCCTCTAATTCTGACCAAACCTTCAGCACATGCAGAAAAAAAGAAACACTAATTGTTGCTCCCATCATGTGTGTGCTTTAAATCTACTCACAAACATCTATGTTCAAGGCAAAGGTCTTTGCTCCCATGGTCAGTAATTTGCAGCAGGGCTTTTGGCTCTTTCAGACTTTGGATAACTCAATTTGTTATCATCTTCTTTTCGCCCTTTAAATTGACATACTCAAAACCAACAGTTTTAGTCAATAAAAGCAAGAGTGGATATGTTGGGATTCCATGGATGGCAGCGATCTAGAACTGATGCACCGGCTTAACTTAATAAATTAAGACCAATTTAATGCCATCTACCAGTGCCGCTTACGCGCTTTTATCAAAATGCTGTGGAGTTTGCCTGCTGTACCTTGCACAAACGCAGCGATTCACTTTCTTCCAGGGTTCAGCGTTACCTAACCCTGCAGGCTACAATTGCTTGCCTTTGTGATTACTGATATTTAGCACTGATTTTCCCCACTCTCCCTCCACGAAAGTGTCAGCAGCTCAGCGCCGCTCAGTACCGATACGATGCTAATGATGGATCAGCGCTTTGCGCTGGATTTGTTTAATGAAGTCATAACGGCAGCCAGAAAAGTCCAAGAAGAGCCACTTTGTGGGTGTAAATCCCAACAGCTGGACCGACTTGGTTGGACTCCCGTGGGTTTAAAGCACTTTGCACCCACTGGGGATTTGTCCTTAAGTAGCTTTCCTGGGAACACTGCGAGTGTGCGAGCTGGCAGAGGGGCAGAGCCACCCGAGCACACAGCACTAACAAGCTTGAACATTGTAATTAGCAAGCCGATCATTTTCCCTCTCTGACTGACATGTGACATCTCTGAAACATTTTTCAAAAGCTTCAGATTTTGAAAGTGGTGGGTGTTCTGAATTTTTGGGACGCACCTGCGCTCACATCCACACAAACACTGATTAGATAATATGATGTGTTTGTTCAGACTATGGGTAATTTAAAAATTAAGGAGAATAATTTGTTCCAAGAAGCTATATATAATATAATATGTTATATAAAATCTATTATGCACTTATATCACATTTTATATCATATTATGCTATACTATATTAGTACTACAGTGTACAAGTATTTTGTATATAAACATACATATGTGTATAATATATGAATGTGCGTGTCTATATATGATTATTTCTCTTTCTCAGAAGTAGTAAAATATTACATATGTATGTTTAATACATTGGTTTTGGCTTTGCCCAAATATGGAACCTTTTAAATTTCTTTATTTCTTTTTCCCCTCCATTTTTTCCAGTAGCCCAGCTGCTGAGGCAAAAATGTTATATGGCAAAATACAGATTTAGATTTTTGTGTTGTGGGTGGCTAAATTCTTGTTGCTCCCTGCCTAGTATCAGGGAAAATGGCAAATAGTTCATCTCAATGCAGGGAATTGTCCATGTAGTGCCTAAGCTATCTTCATTTGTGGAGAATAAATAATTTTCTATTTCTGAATCCCTTCTAGTCCCACACCCGCAGAAGCAGTTGGCGTACAACACCTCGAAAGCCGGGGTCGTAAAATTAACACAGACATTAGGAACCGAGTGGATTGACAGAGGAGTAAAAGTCAACTGCATTTCCCCGTAAGTAAAATGTAGTCTCATTTTGAAAGTACAAAGAGAACGAAATGTTCTAAAAAGCTCAAATGAACAGTATCTCGGCAAATAAAGTTTCTAATTAGCAGGTGGATTGCATCCCTTTTTATGTTGTCTTTTCCTTAACAAAGGTTTAAATACTTAGAACCAAGCCTGCTCTGTTGCTGTGTATACTCAGGGATTTAAGAAGAGGTTTTAGCATTTGATAATAGGTTTTCCAATAACGTGAAGGGTAGTTTTTAGCATTTCTCTTCCAGATGAAATATTTCCTTAGTCTGTCCAAGCCTTCTGCGGTTAAAGAAAAGGCTTTTGACACTTAATAGACAATACTTCTTTCCCTTTTTTACTTGAGACAAATATATAGGCACTTTAAAAGCCACATTGTACTGCTGTAATTGAGATACTGTTCAGTTCTGACAATCACAGGAGGCCAGGTGTAATTTTGTAAATATATATATATATGTATATATATTTATTACAAGTTACATTTTCCTTATTTTTAGAGGCTTAAAGGTGTATGTTTTATTTTATGGTATTTATTCACAAAGAAGAGTTTTCTTGCCACATACACTTTTTCTCTTCCTGTTTCTCACACACATACCCAACACAGTCATTTTATTAAACAATTAACAGTGCATGATAGTGCTAAGCAAAAACCCAAGTGGATAGTGTTAATTGGAAGCGGTCAAATTCTGTAGACCATTGAAGTCAATCAGAGTAAGTAAGAAGGGCAGGATTTTAACCCAAGAGTTAAATTGTAATAACGAAGATATAATGTATATCAAATTAGGAAAAACAAATTACGTCTTTTAATCCACAAAGTGGAGTAAAAAAAATATATTTCAGAGAGCTCAATGGCAAGTGCCTCTGTTTTTACTGTGGGTCTGCTCTCAACTTCCTTGTGCTAGCTGTCTTCCTTATGATTATTTATTACTAATTATACCAGTGACTCCAGCCGTCGCTCTATGTGATCCACAAATTCTTTAAACAGCATTTTACTTTATAATGGGATTTTCCCCATGCCAATGCTATCAGCTCTGCAATAGTGTTCTCACGACTAGTGCTAGTGAATTTACACTGGCTTTCGGGAGCCGGGGAAGATGAAGGGAATTAGGGAAGCTCAGTACAACCTGGCAGGAACTGTATCTGAAAACTCATGGGTAATCTTTACCAACAGAGGTGGGATAGTAGTGCCGTATTCACAGCAATCACGGATAAGGAAGCTCTTAGATGAGGATTTACCCATTTCGAGAGCGTTTACATAAATTTAAAAAATATCCACTGAATGATCAAAACTCAGTGTTTTGTGTAAGTTGGAAGCAGACACTCGTACTTGAAGAAGTTATGTTTCTGGAGGCAGTTGTCAGAGCATGGAGAAAAGATAGTCGTGCCTCTCTTTTTCTACTTTTCAAGCCAAAACGGGGTTGCATTTTAGTCATCCCTACCTGTCTTAAACAACAGCTCTGAGCTCAAAATCCTACGACGGGAAGGGAGGGTTTGCTTTGCAGAGGAATAGCCAGAAAGAGCGCACAGAGGACAAACGTTTTTGCTGTCTTTGATGTCCCCCGTCCAGGACGGAGCAGTCCTGGCCCCGGACCGAACCGCTCCGGGAGCCGGGCAGAGTTTTCCTCCTGGCAGTCCAAAGCTTTGGCCGAGCCCCTCGTGCCGGGCTGCCCGGGGAGCAGTGGGCACCGTTCCGAGGAAGGAGCCCACAGCGGTTCGTGTGGCTCAGATCCCTCCTCGCCGCAAGCAAAACCCAGATACGCTTGAGAGTGAACAAATATTCACGTTTACCCTGCTGCCTCTACGAGATGTGAACCTGTGTTTCAGCGCAGATTTGGACCCATCCCCAGAACTGTGGACCCCACCGGTCTCGTTGTCGTGTCTCTTGATGCGACTCACCGAGGCACGGGGGCATCTTCAACCCTCTTGTACCCAACACCGGGCAGTAGCCTCAATGCAACTCAAAGCCGTCAGAGTACTTCGCAGGGTTGAAAAATGTCCCAAACGCACAAGTCTAAGCACGGGTGTCCACCCCAGCACGTAGTCATCTTATAACAGGAGGGGATCTTGAGGAGCGTGAGGAGCACAGAGGTGAATATACAGGGCGTGATGGTACCGAAGATAATATCTGGATAAGTAAAATATGTAAGTGTGTCCTTAAGTACTTTGCCCCTCCCGTTCACACTTGCATTAATGCTTTAAGGCGCTCTCAGCCTACCTCTGTCTGATGCTCCAAACACTCCAGTCTGGCCTTAAACATTATTTCACCACGCAAACCTTTTGGCCTTTTTTCCCTCTTCCTATCTGGTCACTTTTTATCAACTTAATTTCTTAATGAGTGCATAAAACTTATGCAGAGCGATGCATAAAAGTTATCAATGCATAAAATGTTATGGCACAGTCCTCAGGATAATTTATTGCATTTATAAAATTGAAGAGTCAGGCTTCTCCGGCTGGCCAGGCGAGCCTCATGTCCATGAGGAGAAGGTGGCCAAGACCCCCTGGATGTTTTGGCTGACTTTGCCTGTTGCTCCATGCAGCAGCCAAGCATCTCCGTGTTATAGAGGATACCACGCTCAGCCCTTCTGCCACCACCTAGTGCGACTGCTGCGCAGCCAATGCCGTGCAATATGAAGAAGGTGCTGGAGTCTTCCTGACGGGGACGTAGGGGTCAGCCTGCAGAGGGGACCCGGGTGTGAACAGGGACTTTTACAGAGCACTGCCTGGCAGCCGATGTCTGGCTGCCCACAGGGTAGTTTAGTCCCTTTGCTGGTCCCTGCCTACGTGAAGCGTGTTGGGTGTGATGGAGCAGGGGACTTTTGAGGGTCTCTGGTTTTTGGCACGTGCAGCATTGGAACGTTTTTGCAGCTGTTGCGCTGAATCAATGTCCATTTGGGGGGCTAATTGTATCTCCCTGCTTGATTTGCAAGGCATAAAATGCTATAATGTCATGACTTTTGGGATGGGCGGCTGGAAGTTGATCTTCAGCTCAACCCACAGCCGCAGCCAGGGCAGCTTGTGGGAGACCCAGTGAAACTCAGCAGTCCCAGGGGCTGCTGGGCTGCAGGGATTTGGGTTTGGGCTGCGATGAGCAAAGAGGCTTTGTCTCCTGCATGCCTGCCTTGCTCCCCTGGGATGGTACGGAGGCAGCCGTCTGGTGCTCTACCAGGCTTTTAGCCCGGTGGGTGCAAGGACTCAGAAAGCAGGTAGGGTGGGATCACTGCAGATTTGGGGTGTACCCCATCATGGGGGAAGGAGAGGCAGAGCTGGCAGGAGAAGGAGCACCCCAGCATCCCCTGAAGGTGTCCCAATTAAGCAGCATTACTATCCCCATTAAGCAGCAGTCGTTGCTGGTAAGTATCTTTGGACTTAAATCTTAATTCCGTGGGAGATGTCCCAATTAAGTGGATCTTGTGATTAAACACTTCCTGATTAAGTGGAGTGTACTTAACTCATTCAAATTAATAACTCATCTGAAAGAAATCAAGTTACACACAGATGGAATCTTTTTTTCCTCTCATTTGGGGATTGAGCGCACATAACAATTCCAGTTAAGTATCTGGTAAGTGATATTTTTCCTAATGTGTCTCTCGAAGTGGAAATGTTTTAGGCAATTGTGGGTTTTTTGTTGTTGGGGTTTTTTTTTTCCTAATGTCTCGAATTGTCCTGTGTATCAATAATGAAATATTGATGCTCATATCTAACATTAAGGAACCAGCAGTTTGATATTACATTGACATGCAACAGAAAGTACTGATAGGCTCAGCACTGCATACGAGATGAGGTAGGGAATTAATGCATTGGCAGTTGTCTTTGCTGGAACTGGTTAGAAGCCAACTAAAATCTGCCTAAAAGGGTTCGACAACATTAAATTGCCCAACTTGGCACCAAAGCTTTCCCAGAAGATGTGTAGTATCAATGACATGCCTAATATTTATAGTGCCATCAGTATGTGTGTTTGCAACTTTTAAGTTTTGTGCTATATTTTTTTCTCATTTATATAACAAAAATTTGTAATGAAGTTTTGTTATGTATCTAAATTTTTGCTACTTGAAGTGAACCTAAAGAAAGGCCCAGTGAGAGGCACAGTGCTGTGATTTACAGGTTGCAGTGATCAGACCAAAGATCATTTTTCCAAACAGATTGAAAAATGTCCTCTTTTCAGCAAAATCTGTTGTGCTGGAGGACTATGTGTCGTACGCCCTAATCTGCATTCTCTTGTGGTTAAAACAGATATGTAAATTAAAAAAATTATAAAATCACATGGATCTTATTCTGATCTCTGATAGTGTAAAGCCAGAATGATCATGTTGATGGTTTTGTAAGCACGGTGAGAGGCACGTAAGGAAAAGGAGTCCAATATATTTCTCGTCTGCTGCTCAAAGCATGTTTCTCGCTGAAGAAAACCAGTTATCGAGGAGATTGGGAGAGCAAGGGGGAGAGCGGGGGTCTGTGCTTGGGGGAAATAAGTGAACTGTCTGCAGTCCTATACTGGAATGTGTTTGATTTTATTACATTGCCAGAGCTAAAGTGATCTGCATCGCTCAGTGTTTCTGAACTGCTCTGGTGTTTATTGACAATTACAATAAAAAATAAAGCCGATATTTAAATCCTGCCTGCTTAGTGAAAACAGAAATATTTGGGGGGAAGTCTGAATTAGTTCCACTTTGTAACAGAGTAAATAGCAGATTTCAGCCTTCATTTAAAACAAAAGGTAAATCTCATACCCAGAATCCAGTGTGTCTCAAAAAATTATTTCCTTGGAAGTATAAATTGGGATGCCGATGAAGTTTCAGAACAAAACGCGTATTTTTATACTTTGTTCATTTCATATTTATCACTAGCTTGTTTGCTAATTTTCATTTGCAAGAGGCAATTCTTCCAGCTAACTGGCTGCCTCAATGGGCCACTGATTTCTTTGAAGTGACAGTCTGTAAATATGCATAAAAAAGAGATGCAATTAGCGTGTGTGTGGTTCAGTGCAGCCTGATTTCATTGGCAAGTTTACCCACAGTGTTGATAAGCTACATTATCTAGAAAATTGGCCGCTGAAAAACAGCACCTCTGATTGCCAGCAAAGGTTCCAGATAACAGGGTGCTGAAGAGAAATATAATTGAGGTTGAATATGTTAACCAAGGTGTCACATGCTCCTTAGAAGCGCTAATTTATCAGCATGTTGGAATTTTTATTAACATTTGGAATGCATTTCTACCACACTAATGAAGTGGAATTGGCAGTTCAGGTTTTAGTTATTGTCATTTCTGAGAAGTTAAATGTAATTTCTCGTTAGACACAGTTATGTAAATATATTTGTTCAGGGGTTGAAAAAATTATACATTTTGCAAAATACAAATATGTTGTTAAGGAGGAGTATGGCAAATCAGTCGCGGTTAAAGTCATAAAAGCCAGCCAAACGTTCGCCCTGCATTGTGCTTTCTGGAGCATCACTCATTTTTAGGGCACCTGAAGAAAATGAACTTAGCAGAGTTTTAATAAATGGTGTAGTCACTCCTTAATGTAAAAGAGGCAAGACAGAGAGATGCGGTGTGATTTGTCGGGGTATTGGTTTAAGGGGTATCGCACCGTGCTTATCTTTGCCTCTCCTTTTTTGTGTGGAAAGGGTCTGGTGCCCAGAAGGACACTGGCTTTTGTTTCCCCTGGTTTTTGACATGCGGGAAGTTGGGCTGTTTTCAGTTTCTCGGCTGTACACAAACATGCTGCGTGACATTATGCTGCGAAGTGATGAGAAAAGAAATGGGTAGAAGGGTGACAGTTCCCAAAGGCCGTGACAGACCCGGTTCAAGGCGCTTTCGGTTCCAATGCCATGCTTGTTTTCCGTAAAAAAATTTAAACTAGCGATGACAACGAGTAACCTAAAAGTAAGGGGATACTGCTATTAGCTAAGAAGATAGTACGTGTGTACTCACTGTAAAGAAAACCTGTAAACCTGCCCGGCAGTGGCAAAAGGCAATAGGAAAGAAGCGCTACCGAAGTTTGCATGACGACTTTCAGCAGAGGCAGAGCGGGTCTGACTTGCACATCTCCCTCGTGCTATTCCACAGTTTTCCTTCCGAATTAACATCTCGAAAACCTCTAAGGGCCGCCTTTCCTTCCAGGGAAAACCCTGTCCTAAACTCTTGGTTGTTGTGCTTTCGTGGCAGGGGCATCGTGGACACGCCGCTCATCCGCTCCAAGGACCTGCGGCCGCTGGTGCGGCGCTGGCTGGCGGACATCCCCGCCGGGAGACTGGCTCGAGCCACCGACCTGCAGGCTGCCGTCGTTTATTTGGCCTCCGAAGCCTCGGATTACATGACAGGTCATAATCTGGTCATCGAGGGCGGCCAGAGCCTGTGGTAAGGGGCGTCCTCCTGCCTCCCCTCTCAGCGGTATAGGTCACACTGGAAAGTGCCTGTTAGAGTTTAGCTCAGTCCCAGTTTTGGCCTGTGCGGCTAAGTGGCCAGCTGATATGAAACGATTGTTTTTTTTCTTTTGGGTGTTGCTTTGGAGACTCATATAATAAAAAAAAAAAAAAAAAAAGGATAAAAAAGCAATCTTTCATTTTCAACATTTTCATGTTTTTTCACTATGCGTTCAGATTTCTGTTAAATTAGTATTTAATGATATAAAGGCACATTTACTGCAGTGAAATTTGGCTATTACTTAGTTTAACAGGGGGCATTTTTAAAGCAATCGGTATTAGCTGGTCTGTGTAGTATATTGTTCTTAGGCGATTTTTTGTATTCAAGTTGTTCCAGTGACATCTATGAGTGGTGAAAAACAGTTGGATGTAGTGTTAAAAAAAATAAATTAGTTCATTGCATTTGAACCTGAATGTTGCCATTTTATATTTACTGGTGTTCTTAGTTTTTAACTGTGTTTATACAAACACCCACATAAATGCCCCTGAAAGAAAAGTACTGCACTTAACAGAGAATCATGGTTGGTAATTATAATGGCTCTAATCCAAAGCCCATTGAGGTAAGTGGAGACTGCTCATATACTTTAAGTTAAACCCATGTATAAATGTTGATACAACTGGGTCTTTGTTTTCCTTGATAGGCAGATGTAAGCAAAGGTCGTCTTCCAAATATTTTTTTTTCTCCCGTAAAAATCTGAAGACAAGTCTTGGGTGTAAATCAAGGCCAGCTCAAACGGTACCAATACAGTTCTGTTGGCTGAAGAGCTCATTTCGGCAATAGCGCTGGGTTCATTGCTTATAGGCAATAAAACGTGGTACAATAACACCACCGTTTCGATAACACTCTGAATTTATACAGACTTCCATCCTGAGGGCCTTTAAGCATAACCTAAGGAGAATTTACGGGAAGGAATTCACTTGCAAATCCTCATGTCATTTGTTTTGCATTTGGCAGCTCTTTGTTACCATAACATAAATAATTGTGGATGAATGTCATTACTTTGATTAAGTGCTACAAGTCCATACATTGGCTAGCCATTATTGTGGTGAATTGCTATAATGGCTTCAGACTTGACATTCACCGCCACGTCGTAAGGTATGCATCTCGCTGACGTACTATCATCGTTATCATGGATAAAGTGCAAGAAGATACTTGTCTTCATTAAATTTTCTATTAGACCATTGATAATTAATACATATCTCATGTTTCATCTCGAGTCTTTTTTCTGGGGAGTGTTGCTGTTAAGCGACTCAAGGCTAGAGCTTTTTGGCTTGAAACCCCTGCCTTGTGTGCATGATCTAATTTATTGACAATGCTCTGCAAACTCACAGGCTTAAGGAGAGCTCAATTTTGGATAAATCTTCAAGAAAAACAATTAAGGATTTAAACGTTTTATTATTTTTCTGGGCTCACAAAACCTTTTCTCTCCTAGCTCCCACACTTGCATCATTTTGTGTCATGCTCTGGAGGGCTCGGTGGAGTTCTCACATCCCTCTGGCTGGCTTTTCACCCAGAGGTTAATGTGCAAACATTGGTGAACTCATCAGGAGCTCTTCCAAGGGATCCTAGAGGGGCTTGTATACTATCGCTTGGACTGCTGGTGAACAGTTTGTTGCAGCTCCTACCTAAAGTGTAAAATAACAAACTTGAGCTAATTTGAAACATGAACTGCAGTTGGCACTGGAACTGTAACCAATGTTCTCGCTTTCTCGGTAGAAAGACAAAGAGCTGAACAGGCTGCTGAGGCTGAACTCCCTTTCCCTGTCTGGAGATGGTTGCAGGTTAGCACCAAAGGCACTGGCAGGGCGTTGCAGGAAGCTGAAGTTCATTGCCCTGGTGCCGGGTGTTTTTGGGAAGAAGATTTTCAGCCAGTAAGTGTCATGCTGTGACTTTCACAAGCTTCCAAATTAACTTTAAAAACAAAACCCAGACAGAAAGAAAAAAACCCAGACTTAAAAAAAAAAAAAAAAAATCAAAATGATCTCTTAGCTAAGCAGCCTCCGGTGTTTGGACTAGAGCTTGTCTCGCTCCGATCTGTCTGCCCCCAGGCTCTGCCTTTGAAGGGCTGAGCAGGCAGAGCAGAGAGGAGCGAGTTTCCCTGCACAGGTTGACGTTGGGCTTGGACCCTGTTTGGAGACACGGCCCTGCGTCCACGCGGACCCTGGCTCTGCCTCTTGTTGGCCCAGAGCGGCTGGTGGAAGAGGCCGTCTCTCACTCTGTGGTACAGCAGGGCTCAAAACTAAGCGGCCCGAGGGAGTCCGGCCACTCGGTGCCAAGTCCCCGGGGCGACGGGCAAACGCCCTCATGGCACTTTTGGTTTGCATGGCATCCTCCCTTGGGCCAAAGAAAGGGATCCTGGAGGAGAGCAGGTGTCGGGAGGGAAATGCATCTCCCCACACATGTGTGAGCCGGCCTGTCTCCTCCTCGGGACAGAGTTTCACCTCTGTCCTCCACCTGCCTGTACCCAGGGCTCCATCCCTTCACAGGCTCCGGCAACGACATTGTGGCTCTTCACCGTCTCCCCTGTAATTTCTTGGGGGAAAAAGCTGATTTCCACTCCAAGGCAGGGCTCACCGCGCAGCGGTGCTTCTGTCTGATAGGACCAAACTTTGCCTTCGGGCTGGGATCTGGTGGCAGCTCCCCGGGGAACGGGGCTCCCCGCCGGGTGCAGGATTGCACCCTGCCTTGGGCAGAGGGGGACGTTCATTGCTGCAGTCGTGGGGTCTTTTCTGGCAACGCAGCCCTAAAACGAGTGGAAGTGGCGATTTCCCTTTATAAGGGGAAAGCAAAGCTCGGAGGGATGCAAGAAAAGCCTTTTTTTCCCCCTCTTAGCACAGAAGACCCGAGGGAAGAAAAAAAAAAAATTTTTTTTGGAAAAAAGCACCTTTCTGAGGAATGCGGCTGTAGCTGTGGAAAGGCAGCATCTGTGTTCGGTGGGGTTGTTCGGGGCAGCTCAGCCCCGGCGCGGAGCGGTGCGGAGCGGTGCGGAGCGGTGCGGAGCGGCCGCGGGCGGAGGCGCCGTTCCCGGCGGTACCTCTAGGAGGAAACCTCAACCTGTGTTGTGTCTGCGGGAGCCGGGCTTCCCGGCTCTGCTATTCAACTTTTATATTGTAGCTAAGTTAGTACTTTTGATATTTCTAAGTTTTTTTTTTTTTTTTAAACATTTATGTAGAACACCACATAATTGCAGAAAAGATAATAGTCACATACCCTAGGGCTTGGTGTACACTTATGTTAAAAGTACAGCTTTTATTGGCAACTAAAGTAATAACCTTTCCATGTCAAATTGCTTTAAATTAAACTTAAAAAAAAAATGCTGGCTGATACCCACACTTAGTAATTGTCAAACATTAGCATAATGTGGAATACTAAAGCTGCCTAAATCTTGGGTTTAAAAATAATTATTTACTTAGGTAAATTCTCTATTCAAAAGCATAATATTAGATTTTTTTTTTTTTTAACAGTTTCCTCGATGTATATGTTAAAATGCAGACCTAAGCTTGACACGGAAGTGGGACCGAATGTTATTGTAGCCTTTGAGAGAAAAAGGGGGATTTTATACTTTTAGCTCATCCATCCACCATTGTTCACCACAAAAGAAATGTTTTAAGGTGACACCTCTGAAGGCATAGTGCTATGGGTGACGTCTGGTGACCCAAGACCAGTGACCTGGAATACCTGCTGGCTGCACCCTCCCCTGCAGCCCTGAAGAGCACCCATAAAGTTTCTCATGCTGGAGGACATCTGGGAGACGGGCATCTCAAGTATATGGGTATGCAAAGCCAAGGGCAGCAGGTCGGTAAAGTGCTTCCCGCAGGTGCATTTTACTTCTCTGTTTCAGCACGTAACTGCAGCAAACGCGGCCGGGACCGTTCAAATTTCCAGTGCGAAGCGGGAGAGGAAACTCTGAACTGTGAGATGTGGCTCTCTTGGCTCTCTGCTGCACTGGGAGGAAACTGGACCTACCAGGTGCCGTGAGGACACAAATCCTGGTGGTTTTCTGCTTTTTGGGAGGCCCAGGCTCTGACCTGCCCTGCTGAGGACTTTGATCTCTCTGCTAGGGCTTCCCTGGGGAGTCCACCGCAGCGCTGCGAGCCCACCAGTTCTTCCTCAGAAACACCTCAATGTTTTGCTGGAAGTTCAGCAAAACCCACTTTGGAACATTTTCTTAAAGAAATCAGCAGTTCCCTTAGGGCAAAAGGGTTTGTGGCAAATTCCTGTACCTTTGGCTAGCAAGGTAGAAAGGGATTGCCTTTCCCACTCCTTTAGGGAGCAAGAAGTTCTGGGAGGCTCTCGCTGCCTTTTCGGCCAGCTGACAGAGGAGCAGAAGAGAGCGGTAGCACCTGGGAACAGGAGGTTTATGATCTTCAAGAGAGAGAGAGAGTTAAACAGTTGTTGGGAGGAGAAACGCAAGGAGCTGAGGACTGAAAATTGGATACCTTTCCCAGCCTTGCCTAATACCATATGTGTTTTACACTGTGATTATAAATCTGATTATATATTAATTTCCACACTGTTTTAATTCTTTAAAGCAGGGAAGGGAAATACACGCTCTTCCTTGGAGAACCCCAATGCAGTCTTACAGCATATGCCTTCTCACCAGAACAGGTTGAAATTCTTCAAAACTCTCAAACCGCAGTGTTTGCTGCTAGATTTTCACCTACCCAGTGTCTTTTCTCCATTCAGTGCCTCCATCCTCTTTCTCTAGAGCTCTCCCTTCCCCACCTGCCCTACCTGACCTCTTTCCCCTGCTCTGCTGCCGGTGCTGCTGCTGTCGCCCCATCGCACCAAGGCAAATGGAGAGGAGAGGGACCAAGCAGAGTACGTTGACAGTACACACAGGTTACCCAGAAATACCTCTCATTACCAAGGCCTGGATTTAGCCTTCATTTACTTGCAGCCCAAATGACTCCGTCGCAATCCATGAAGCTTCTGGTA